ATCTGGCACTTGCGGCTGAGGTGGGGCAGTGCCCACTGCGATCTGGCACTTGCTGTAGCTTGCTGGCGAGGAGGCGGCGGAGGAGGTGAGAAGAGCTCTGATAAGACCTAACAACCCTCACCTGGCGACGAAGCGAGGAAGTGAGGAAGGGAAGCTGGGAAGCAAGGAAGGAAGGAGGCCGCCGACATTGGCCAGATGCGAGAAGGAAGCAGTCCGGCCAATCGAAGAAACAGGCCATCCCTGGCCACCCTTGCTTGCTTGCTTGCTTGCTTGCTTGGTTGCCTTGCCTTGCCTTGCCTTGCCTTGCTTTGCTTTGCTTTGCTTTGCTTTGCCTTGCTTGCTTGGTTGCTGGCTGCTGGTTGCTGGTTGCTGGTTGCTGGTTGCTGGTGCTGCTGCTGCTGGTGGTGGTGCTGCTGCTGGTTGGTACTGCTGCTTTGCTTCTGGTGCTTTGCCTGCTATTGTTTTTGCTTTGCTGCTGCTTGCTGCTAGCCCCTGCTCAGAATCTTGAAACCTTTACCTTTCGCCCACCTCCAACACCTCTAGAACAGGGGAGCCTGCGCACCCAGGCAAGACGAAGCTCCTCCAAGTTTCGCTTGGCTTTGAGCTTGCCAACAGCAAAGTCTGGCAGACAATGGAAGCTTGGCTCCCCCGCGTTTTGGCGTTGCAATTGGGGCCAACGCGTTGGTTGAGTAATTTACACATGTGAGCGGCGGCCAGCGACCAAAAAAACACACCTAACGGACCAAATGCACACATAGTTATAGTTCGAGGCCTGTTCGGGGTCCATATTAGTTCTTGAGGTCAACCTTCAAGCAGAAAACCGGATCAACCTCAAATCTCAAATCCTCGCATATGACAAGGATTGTGCACGGACTAAACTTAGGAAGGTGGCCCGTGTTCATTACCGACCCATCGCCCCACAGTCCCTTCAAGCCTTTACAAACGAATCCGTACTCCTTGCAGGTGTAGCTATTCATCAGAACAAGGCCTCGTTGGGTAGATGCATTGCCGCTGGAGCCCCCTTGTACGTTTCTTATGAGGTCAATGATGGTTTTGTCATCGTTGCCGGTGTTGACGAGAAGAGGTTTGAGCAAACTGTAGCTAGGTGAGGATTAACTTGTCGGCGTTTGTCTCTGGCTTTTTTGTTGTTGCAAGTCTTGACCCCCAAGACTTTGCCACTTGCTTGAGTGGGTTTGGCGTGACTTGGGAGTCGGGCTTTGAGGCGGCAGCGTGCGAAGTTGGCCAAAAGCTTTTGGCATATTGTCCCCGCTCCCACGGCGGCACTGGTCTCCTCGGGCTTGGAAAGGTCAGGGGGAACTTGAAGATGCTTGGCGTTGGAACTTGGTGGGATGTTCGCTTTTTTGTGGGGTAGCTTTATGTGACATGACCTGGGTCGCTTGTTCTGATACTACTGCCGGCCCAGGGAGATCATGAGTGGCCAGACGTTTGTGGGCGATGCAGATGCCTCCAAAGTTCGGGAAGCCATGGCTGCAGTGTCGAACGACCCTCCTGCAACGCTCACCAACGCCAAGGAGTTGCATAACAAGAGCTACAAGGTTCACAAACAGTTTGTGGAGTCTGAAGCCGGGAAGTATTCCGTCCTTGACCGGCTTAAGCTTTATGATTCTCTTGTGGCATGGCAGAAGTTCGTCAAAGCTTTGCCAGTGCAGTGGCAGGCGGGCCTCTCAAGTTGCTGGTGTATTTTTCATTCTGGTCATGTGATGGCAGCTCCTCAAACCCTAGAGACTGACAGCAGCCAAGCTGCAGCATTTGCAGGAATCCTTTTGGCACGCCTACATTGCAGTGGAGTGGACTGCGACAGTGCCTTGCTCGCGTCTGTGGAGTTCTGTCCTTTTGGTGTTCAGCTTGTAATGGTAGCTTTTCTGGGGTCGCCTCCAAAGCCAGGTCCCATTCGACAAGGGTGTCAAGGACCTGCCGGGTGTCAATTTCAAGTTGCCAATGATGAGGGCAGCAGGCGTTCGATATGCCACGGAGAGTGAGATGGACAGCTTGCGGAAAGCTTTGACTAGGCCCCTGTCACCGCCGCCTGACCGTCTGGACTTGGAGGCTTTGCTGCGGAAGTTGGGCCTTCAGAAGTATGCGCCGATTTTTGCAGCAGAGGAGATCGACACTGTTAGCTGTCTTAGGTTGCTGACCGAAGACGACTTTGTTCAGATGCAAATCCCTCGCGGGCCGCGTCGCAAATTACAAGACGCTTTGCACCGAGCGTGACAAGTGAAGCCTGCAGCCAAAAGTTGGTGACTAACAACTGCTTGTGCGAGGGGCATGATATTGGCCATTGGGCCAAAAGGATTGGGTGTTGATGCAAGAGTGAAAACTAAGTGAGTGTTTGCAACAAGCAAGGGCTGATTGCCATGGTGTTTTCCCAGTTTCACCCTTCGCTGGCATTTGCTAAGAGGTGCAAGTGACCTCCCGCAACTTGTGCTGTTCAAGCATTGGGTTGCGCAGGCTGCGTGGCTTCGTTGACACGGCTGTCAGCGTGCTTCAAGAACCCGGCTGAGGAAGACAAGGCTTTCCACTGCGCGGCGCTTGTGGAAACGGGATCTAAATGCTTTGGAGGGTGGTGTTGGGTTGGAGAATGCAATGCCGCAAATTGACGGTGATGGTGACTGACGGGCAATTGTTTACACCATGTCGTTTACCTAATTGTTCCACAAGCCTGACGTAGAAAAAATAGTGTTGACAGGACTAAGCCAACGGACATTAAACATTGAGTGCCTGAGCAGGTATATCGGAACTTTGTGTTGACCCTAGAACCTGTTTGACAAGATGCAGTTGAAAACGTCGGGACAAACATGTTTCGAAAATATTGATGATGTATTGTAGTTCTAGCTATTTGTCTATTTATCTATCTGTCTATCCATTTATCTATTTGTCTGTCTGTCTGTCTGTTTACCTACCTACCTATCTATCTTTCTGTCTATCTATCTATCTATCTATCTATCTATCTATAAACATCAACGGCAAATTCGCGTTCATTTTCCTGCTTTTACACCAGTTTTTGTCAGCTTTTGTGTACGTCAAATGTTGCAGGCTTCAAAACTCTTAGAACTCAACGCCTTGCGTGCTTGCCTTGCAGGCGGGTGTTGAAAAAACATCTCAGACGATCCTCCCAAATTGTGTTTGTAAATGTTTGTAAACTTTTCAGCTATGTCACCGAAACGAACGACTCGCTTGGATGCAGGCCTTCCAGACAACCCAGAATCTGCACCCACAATACCTTTGGTTCACACAGCGGACCCGTTGCTGAGAGCTTACGGCGAGGCAAGGGTTGCCGTCCAAAAACCTTTAAATCCGTGAAAGGGGAACGGCTAGATAGCTTTCATGTGAGCATATGAACTCAGACAAATTGCTTGATCAACAATATTTTGTTCATGTGGTCAATTTTTGATGCGCTTTAGCCTGAGGCTACCACTGCAATTCTGGGGGCGCGCCTTGCTGCTTGCGAATGGGCCGCTTGTTCATTGAAGCTCAACTTGTTTGATTGTTTTTATCCGCCACGTTTCACCTGGTTCAACTCAGGAAATTTCATCGCTGGCAGATGGAACTCAACCTATCCTTTTGGCAGGCTGCATGCACTTGTGGCCTTTGGTGGTTTGTTTCGATGATGCTTGGCAGGTGTGTTGGGGGAGGCAGCTGCTCTCCAGATTAAGATGCTCAACTTTGAAGATGCTTATGGGAAACTTTCATTGTGTCGCTTGGATGTTTTCGGCGTTTATCCAGGGAATCGCCGGCCATTTTGCCAGCTAAGGTCTTCGGTTGAAGCCTTCTGATGTGGCAACAAGGCTGAAACTGGATTGTGCATTGGCCCTTGCCTGTCGGCGCGAACTTTGCTGTCCAGGGCTCAGTGTGGGTGCAGCTCGAGTGTGGCATGTGAGTGAGTTTGAAAATGTTGCTCTTGGCCATGCAACATATAGTCGAGGGCATCGCATCAATGATGCAACCAAGGCCTTTCTGAGGGCATCTCATGGGACGACCTTGCTGATGAGTCTTGGACGAAACGCAGACGTTGGTTCGGCCGCCGCTGCGTCAGGGTTTATTGTGTGAACTGTTTTGATGGGCGTGCTTGGTAAGCGCCATCAAAACATCATTTAGAGCACAGGTGGAGGTTTTGTCGTGGATCGTGTGCATATGTCCATGAAAAGGGTTTGCGCACACCACGCAAGTGAGGCAGGTAAACTATTGAAAGAGCGATTGGAACATTATGGCTACACAGCTGCGAACCTGCCTCAGGCACACAGGGTGCAGTTTGCTGTTCTTGGGAAGAGGACGTAGTGATTTTTATATAGATTGCAGTTCGCTTGTCAAGTCGCAAGGCTGCTGGTGTCCCTTCTGTGCTCCACCTGGTCTCAAACAGAGCTGATGCACTGGAAGCAACGCTAAAGGCCAGGCTAGCGCACCTTGGGTGGAGCTTGACATTTCTCACCCAAGCCCTTGCTTGTTTGAAAGGAGAAGGCCGACATGCCCTTGAAAGAGCTGATCCGGCTCTTCCTCTTACGACGTGTTTTGCCTTTGGAGCAGAGCATTGAGTTGCTGGGTGCCGTGGTGATCTCAACCCTGCTCCGTCTACGAGCTCTTTGTTGCCTTGAAAGCGACTTTCATCTAGTCAATCCGGAAGACGCTGTCAAAGTCATCGAAGAATTGGAGGGAAAGACAGGTGAAAAACGAGGTTTCAAGATCTTCTCGGCAGTGGCCTGGTGGCCAGTGGAAGATTTGCTGATTGCAACGGATTATGGAGACACACAGCATGCTGCAGGCGAATTTGAACCAGTAATGCGTCCAGACAAGATACAGTAGAGTGCATTGCTCTTGCTTTTCGTGACGGCGCTGTGTGACACCAAAATTAGTAGATGGGGCCAACCTTCCCAATAGATTCAATAGATCGATTTTGCCTCAGCCAAGCGGTCGCTTAGCTGACTGAGGTATTTGTCCTTGGACTCGTACGCTCTCATTTCTGCTTGTCCACGTGATGCCGTGGAAAACGTTCTGGATATGTGCTGCGGGAGTGGCGTCCAGGGCCTTGTGGCATTGCGCCACTATGCCAGACAGGCTGTGTCGCAGTTTTGGATGTGACTTGTGAAAGCACTCCTGGTTAACACCCCAAATTCAAATCCTGGAGAGGAGCTCTCGACCCCAGGCTACAAGGATCAAGGGTTCAATTCAGACTGAAATTCAGACTCTTGTACTTTTGGGCAATTTGTCGCAAGACAAGATACCTTTAGGCACCTACTTGCCCTCAGAACACGGCAGGCAACGTTTCTGGACGTGAACCCACGCGCTCTAGCGTTCAGCCGCTTCAATGCTGCTCTCAATGGCCTTCATGAGCGATGCAGCTTTGTGGAAGGAAGCGTCCATGAGGATTTCTTGCGTCACATGGGGGCGAAGAAGTTTGAGGCACAGTGACAACACGGCATATGTTCAAGCTAATGCATGTGCAAGACTAAACGGTACTTTTTGTGTCGATGCCCATTTGCCATTGGATCGTTGTTACTGGATGACCTTCATTTCAATCTTTGTATGCTGCCTTCCCCAGCAAGTTTTCTGGAAGAATTCTTGTCACGTGGGTCCACGTGAAGTACTTTTTGTGAAGCGGATGGACAAAGCACCACGGCATCAGGTTATCCTAGCAAACCCTCCTTTCGTGCCGAACCCGGATGGAACAGCTTCTGCTGCAGGCACGCTGACGATCCAAAGTGCCCGGAGTGCAAAAGAGTTGATAGATAACAATTTGATATTGCACTAGTCACTAGTTCAGTGGTCTTGATATTATCTGAACCTATTTCATTGCCCTTGAAGCAGAACATGAGCCACTTGCCAGGGCCACTCTACTCTGGAGGGGGTCATGATGGTGAGGAGGTGCACAAGATATCGCTGCAGAAGGCCCCTTGGCCGTTGAAGGGCGAAGGGGGAACCCTTGCGAATGGTAGTTGGCCATCACCAGAAGAGCCGTGGTTGCGGTCAATCTTTAATGTGAGCCCAATTCAGAAAATGAAGGAAAGGCTCTGAACACATCAAGCGGATGTGGAAGAATAGGGCGTGCCGAGGTAACGTGTGGGTTGGAGAAGTACAAGGTTCCCACCATCACTGCCTCTTCTTGGACGTTGCTTGATGCCTAGAGCCGTTGAAAAAGAAATGCCTGCTGCTGCTGCTTCTGCTGCTGTACTACCACTACTACTACCGCTAAGCTGCTAAGAGGCCAAACTTGCCAAACTCCCTGGAATGGTTTTGGGGGATCATACTTTAAGTCTCCCTCAATCGTTTGCGGGGGGGCATTTTACAAATCACACAAAAAATATATATATATATATATATGTACATTACAAAAAGGGACATGCATCTGCAACAGCCAGGTGAGCGAATTCTGCAATTTCATAGCACTTTTGGGACTTCCGACAATACTGAGGGCTTGACGCTGCTGGCAGCTGGAGGGCGGTTTTGCAGCGTGGCAGAGGTGCCAAACCCAGAGACACCTGGCAGACCCGACCGACAGTGGTTGAACTGGCATCAGGCGATTGGGCAAAGGCTGAGGTGAAACCAAGACTGAACAAGGTCTCTTAGGAGTCTGCGGTGCAACCGACCCGTCTACCCACCAAACTTCGATGCCTAAACAATGCCTTTCATGTGGAGGGTAGCGCTTTTGCTCATGCTGTCCTCATGATCAGCCAAAGCGGATTTTGTTAAGTCGTTCAACGCTTCGTCCCACATGGCCCCCGGAAGATTTCCTACAGTACCCTGTCTCTACAAGCAGTGAAGAGTCCGGGATTTTTAGCATGGGTTTGACACTGTAGCTGACCCAGGATCGCTGCAGCCTTCAGTGCTGTAGGCATCTCCTTCCTTGTCCTTTTCATTCTCCTTCCCAGAGCGTGTGGTGACTTTGGTGAGCTGATTCTGCAGCACAGCCAAGGAGCTTCCCAGAGCGTGTGAAGGAATGGGTCTACCAGGCGCTGTTGTTCGCTTCGTGGCTGCCCAGTGACGTGGCTGTTCATGTCAGGCTGGGCAACCGACAGGGTCCATTCAGATTTTCACCGGCAAGACCATAGCCGCGGAAGAGTATTGGAAAGCAGCCACTCAGGACTCCGGTTCCCACTTTCGAGACCATTTGCTTGCCTGACGCGCCTTTGGTTTGAGGTTGTTGTTGACCAGGTGAATATTCAGCTTGCAGATGTGTTATGTGATCGGCTGCCACAGTTTCAGTTAACTGTTGAGGAGCGGTCAGCACTGGAATGGAATCGCTATTTGAGTGGTTTGCGGCGCCTGGGGGTGAGCAGAGTTGCAGAGGCTCTGGTCTTCCTACTCCAGGCTGGACTCAAGCTCAACCAGAAGGAAGGTAATGGCCAGAAGAAGCCCCGTTGAGCCTCACCCAACATGGGCTGACATATCTATCTATCGATCGATCGATCTATCTATCGATCTATCTATCTTACCTTACCTTACCTTATCTTATTTTATTTTATCCTATCTTATCTTATCTTATTTAATCTAATCTAATCTAATCTATCTATCTATCAGGTATGCAGTATGCATTTATATACTTGCAACTTATAACTTATAACTTATAACCATATACATACGTGTTCCATCATGACCCCAATATTTCCAACTATATCATATGTTGTTTTTGGGGATGAACACTGACATTGACCCGCTGTTCAGGATGGCTCTCCGCTCAGCGTGGATGTCATCACTCGCTCCGCACTCTGGCAAGACAGTGAGTATTTGCAAACCCACGTCGCTCACTGCATGGCCTCGTGAGATGGTCCCGCGAATGTCCTCGCTGATGCGAATTGAGAGCTCAGACCACCTCAGAGTATTTGAGAGATCGTGAGATTCGTGAGTTCGATGACCTGGGCCTGGACAAGATTTGGCACATCTTCCCCACGAAGCCTGCCACGAGCCCTTCCCGGCCTCGTTTGCGGTTGTGAGGTGCCATTGATGGACATGGCGGAACAAACTGCAGAAAGATGGCACGCAGCGTTTGGCTGTGCTTTCTGGGGGTCAATGGTCATGATGCTGTCGAATCCTTTCAGATTAGGTCTCGGGCTGCCATAATGGACCAGAAGTTGGGAGGGATGGTTGGAGCCTCGGTTTCTACCGGTTTGTGGGTGTCAGTTCGGTGTCACTGGTGCAGTTCAGGCTTCATTGCAGCCAAGGTCGCCATTGGTAAGGAAGTTTGAGGACCCAGGTCTTGTCGCAGCTTCCTGCTTCCTGAAGTGGCTCAAGAAGCTCAGAAACTCCAAGTGGACCTGTTACGGCTAGTAAGATGCCACGACAGCCAGCATTTGCTACTGTAGCCAGAGTTGCTCTTGCCTGCCTCACCTGGCGCCCTGCTAGCTTTGTCTCAATTTTCCTTGGCATTTCTGGTTCAAGCCAGTCAATGACCAAAATAACTTCAAGTCCTGGCAAAAATCCGCCATACAACACGGAATGCCGTTCCATGTTGCACTGCACATGGGGCACTTGATGTAGCGGCATGCCATGAGGATCAGAGCATTCCCCTAGGCCCTAGGGCCCTAGGCAGATGTGTCAGACAAGTAGACTTTTTGCTCCCCAAACAAGCTGATCAGAACGTCGGTATTAACTCCTGACTGTTTGGCCTCTATGCCTTCAGGTCCTTCAGATTCCGTCGTATCGTACTGGATGCCGGGAGGGGGTCTGTCAAGTGTCAAGAGGCTGCAGAGGCGACCCAAACGCATTAGGATTGTGGAGTCCTGATTTTTTTGTTTGCTGGCGCTATATATTCCAAATACATCCAAATACAATCAGCTACAGATCCAGATACACCTTGGACAGTGGCGGGCATTGGAGCCAGCGCAACAGATCCAGACATGTCACATATGTCCAAGACCATTCTGGTGGCTGGTTTCGATTGGTTTGTGCAATGGTGGTGCGCCGCCGCCCAGCCAGTGATTTGCGGCACTTAGCCCAGGATCAAGCATGTACAATGTACAGAATTGATGTTCCTTTTCAGCTTGCGCAGACAAAGCCTTCCAATAGGTCTCTTGACGACACGGCGCCATATGATGACGACCTGCTGGACTCGCCAAACTATAGTATCAGAGGCGGGCACAAGGAGGTCTTCGCAGACGATTTTCTCAATCAGGAGAGGCTGGCAGCATTGGACTGGCCAACTTGGACAACTTCTAGCAACTCTTTCTCCCCCCTCTCCCTCTACTACTGCCTTTGGGCATTGAAAGAGGCGACATTTAAACATGAAGCTGTTGCACACATCGCGTGCGTCACATTGAAGGACGAAGATGCTGCAACTCCACTAGCCTCCTTGCCAGCACCCTTGATACAAGTACCAGGTCTGTGATCTGTTTCGAGGGTTTGGTTTTCCTTCCTCGGTCCATTTTTTAAAATTTTCCGGTGACTCCTGCCCTGGCACCGCTAGCTGAGGGACAAACGGCAAGGCTGCTGCTGCAAATCTTCTCGGAGGGCTCAGACATTTTCCATCAAAGCCTCGAGGTGTGGCCGCACTGGCAGTGGAAACATGTGGAAACGCCGTGCCGGCGCAGGATCCCAAGCTCGACCTTTGCCACGAGATCTCCAGGGAGGAAATGAGAGAAGCTCTTGAAAGACTGCAACTTGGATGGTATTACATGTTATTACGGTGTGTGAAGCCTGTGCAAGTTCAAGGGTATTCCATACTAGCCTCCCTCGTTTTGGGTGGTCATGGTGCTTGTGGTGGTGTTTTGACAAGAGGCAATTGAGGATGTGTCATGCAGCGATGGCCCATGATGGCCCCAAGGTTGTGCCCGAGCCAAGCTCGTGAAGCCGCAGCGATCTTGGCCACTCAGCTGAGAGCATTTACAACTTTCACCGCCGAAGGTTTTCAAGGAGTCTGAGCATTCATGCCTTGCTGTTTTTACTATTCAACCGGAGGCCAGCTTCCCTGAAGATATGCCAAGCCTGACGATCTTTGAAATCTGCGCGCGAGTGGGCCGCACGCCCGAGTTTTCAGGTTTAAAGGTCCAATTCTACATTTCAAGTGTATAACCAACTGGAAACCATCAAACGCAGTCAAGCTTCACTAGTCTTTCGCCGATCAGTTTCGGCCCAAGGACGTGGTGATCTCATGCGAGAACTGCACACTGCTGCTCAAGCAAAGCTGCGAGACCTGATCTTCACCGGGAAGGCGACCATGCAGCAGGCCAGGTCTGTCACCAGCGCTGCAGGGCTTGTACTGCTTTCCTCCTCCAATATACTGCTTGGTGGTTGCTGACTTATGGGGCTCTCATGAATCAGCTTGCAGTTTTCAATCCAGCACGCATCATGCACTCAGACCACCCTGCCATCAAGCAGCGCACGGGCTCCTGGAAGGTTTGCAGGTTGTTGCGGGCGGGGGCTGAGCCCACTCGCCAGAACCTTAGCTGCTTCGTGAATCTTCAGGCGGGTTGAGACCAGCGGGCTTTCGCGAGAGTCTTGCAAGAGATCCTTCCCAGCTTTTCTTGACCCTGGAGGGTGAGACAAAACGGACCAAGATTGCGGTGAGCCCAGTCAAGTGCACTTCCGAATTCATTTCCGAGAATCCGAAGTTGTTCAAACCTGCTTAGGAAGTGGGCCCTAAGCCTGGCCTCGGCCTTGGCCGTGGGGCGTGGCTGTCTGGCACGCCTCTGCATTGGGCTCGGGGCTTGGAGGATGTTCAATTTGTGAAGATTTTACTGATTTTACCACCAGGTTTGTTGGGCAGCTTCACGAGTCCCTGCTCATCGACAGCGACACTACATCGAAATTGCCAGGTGAAGCTGAACCGATGGCGGAAATGGTGTAGGAATGAAGACGCCAAATGGCCTTCTAACGCCGTTCCTCACATAGAACCAGCTCAAGAGACAGAAACATATTTCTGACAAAGGTTGCAATATGACGAGGCCTAGGACTTGCAGCCATAGAAATTGAATGAGCTTTGTGCTGCCCGTGCGTGGCTTCGTCTAGTTTCAGAAAGCGTTAGGTGGCTTTGTGATGTTGCACCTCTGGCGCTCTTGCTGAAGAATGACAACCATCAAACGCCTTTGGAGATGCTGCTAGGGCACAATGAACTGCCAGGCAGATCGGTAGCGAGCTTGGGGGCAGATGGGCATCAGTCTCCATCAAGACACGGCTTATTTCGTGAGAGCGTCCCGAAGGACGAACATGTGAGAACTCTGACCCCAGAGCAAGAGAAACCAAGCTGGAAAGGATTGGAACGCAGTATACATAAATAAATATATATTGTTAATCTAGCACTGTAGACTGAACATGGAAACCCTGTCCACCTAAACCGAAAGGTGACCGCACCTCTTTCACGCTGATCGATACGTCCGCCCTCCCGCCCTTTCAGCGGTCCGAACCACGGCGTGTGAGCGAGACAACTCGAGGTTGGTTCCGGGAAACTTGTGAGTTTCACACACCTCTTATTTTCTTCTTTTGTCCTACCTCACTCCCTTTTTGGGATAGAAGACTGTCTCGCCCACCCACGGAAAAGGTGTTCGCTTGTGTGCTAGAGTCCCAACCCAATAACTTCGTTCACCTGCACATCCCCGTTGATGGGTGTCTCTATAGACCTCCAAACCCCTAAGGTCAATAGGGCAATCAACAACCCCTACAGGTGTGAAAAGTTGATACCTAGGGACTACATGCACACGGATCACTTCTCCGTTCTTGCCTCTTCTCCAAAAATCCGATGCATGGCCTTCTGTTCCGGACTGTCCTACCAACATGGCTTCTTCTTCTTTCGAGGGTTCATTTTCTGAACGGTGCTGTTTCACCCATTTCAGTCGTTCTCGAGCGGTGAGTCTGTTCTTTAGAGTATAACTCCCATCCTGTAAGACATAGCGACCGGTCCTCAAACACTCACGTAGAACACTGCTATCCATAGTCTTGGTCAAACAGTCTGCTAGCATTGCTTGAGAACTCACCCATCTGACAACTGCATTGTCGCGAATTCTTTCGCGAATCAAGAGACATTCTATTGTCGTCCTGTGCTCCGAGCATTGTGGCAATGCGGTTCTCGTCAACAAATCATAGGCAGATTTGCAGTCTGTAACCAATGCACCACGGTTCTCTTCCAACAACAGTTTCTCAGGGTTCTTCCAGTCACAATCCGGTCTTAACAAAGTCGCCCAAAGAACACGGATCCACAGTAAACGATCAGCCGAATTGCTAAGTGCTGCCGCCTCTGCTCCTAAAGTGCTTCTGACAACACGGGGCATCTTCTTACTATACCAGGCTACAGGGGCCACAACTGCCTTCTGATTATCTAGGAGCTCTGGTGTTGTAGTAAAGATAATTGTCCCTTGGTGTGCTGTCGTGTGTTTGACACAGGAGAAAGAGGCATCTGAGAAAGCACAGTAGGTCACCTTGTCCGGGTGGATAGGTAGAACCATCAATGACACTCTGTTCTGCTTGGCTTCTGCCAGAATCTTGTTTCCAAGAATCAGATTCTTGACTCGGGCTTGAGTGACATCGCTCTGTAACTCTCCCACTTTTGCAGCCATGTCCGGCCGACTGTGGACAGCTGCGTACTGTAAAGCACCGATAAGGCTTCTGAAGGCTGTTCTTTCGGTTTCTGTCACAAGGGATTCCGGGTCATCTCTTCTTCCCTTTCCAAGAGGAATTGGACTGATCTTCTCAACATATGCTATCTGGTCATATTCGATCGACCCATCGTCCCACTGCTTGAACCGGATTCCGGTGTAAGTGAACTCACCTTCTTCGAAAGCCCCAAATTTAAATCGGGCTTCAACGCGACGCAACATCTCCATGAACTTCTGACT